ACTATAGCCCAAGGGTTAAATCCAGCCTCCCCTGTTTTTGTAAATAAAGTTTTATTAGAACACAGCCACGCTCTTTCATTTATGTATTATCTATAGCTGCTTTCATGCTACAACAGCAGAAGTGAATAGTTGTAACAGAGACTGTATGGCCCACAAAGCCTAAAGTGTCTACCTTCTGGCCCACTGTAGAAAAAGTATGCCAATACCTGTTTTACATTAAAAGATAGAGTTTAGTGGGAAGTCTATTTGAAACAATGTGTATTTCTGAAGGAGTTTTGGTTATCTATTAAAATTAAGGTTCACGTGACTCAGTAAATGAACAAAAAGGATACTAATTTTTAATAAACAATATCTTTGTATTTTATGGATATAAGGAAAATTTTCAAAAACGAAAGAAAAGCAGAAAGAAAAGATGTGAAATTAAAGGCCATTTCTCTGTTTAACATCATAATAAAATTAAAATTTCACCCATGAAATAAACCACAACTTGTACTTAAGAGTCTCTTTCTCTATACTAAACAAATTTCTTTTGGAATGTTTTTACAACTGGACAAAATGGTATCCAAATTGATTAGACATATAAAGTAGACACATGGAGCTAACACACAACTGTTAGTTTCTAAGGAGTGCTACGGTCGCCATCTTCGTAAAGCCAGACCCAAACTGCAACCATAACAAGCTGTCGTCACAAAGGCAAAAATCTAAAAAAGAAACAAAAATTCACATCAGATTTATAAGACTGACTTAGAAACAATGTCCTAAGGAACAACTATGTAAAGACTGACCAACCTACCTAAAGATACTTCAACACTTACAAAAATATTTTATATTGCTCTCTTTTTTGATGATTTGTACTACTGTTTTACTTTTTCATGATATTATCCCTTCCTTTAAAGATTCTAGCCTCTAGTCATTTTCTCCTTGGTAGAAAGCCTTATGTTGAACATTTGTGCACATACTGGGTTCACTTATTTGTGGAACCCTGGGCACTATATTTAAAAATTCAGTATAAAGTATCTATTCATGTAGTGCTTTCACAACCAAGGAAGCCAGCAACTCCCAGAACCTGAGGATGTATCACATCATTTCTGTGACAATGAAAAGTGACTTTAGAACTCAACAAAGAAAACACATGGCAATGAATTATCAGGTTGGCTCTTTCTTGTCTGGGAGACAGTTCTCATGCGTAAGCCTGCACTCTGCTGTGAATTACTGTCCTTAGTATTGAATGTGGATTGCTTTAGCACCGATTGTGTGTATCATTATATTTGGTACATACAAATAGTAGATATTGTCCTCATTCTTTTGGGGTTTATGACCCATAGAAAACTACAAAACAAAGCAACAGCAGTTCAATATGGCAAAACATTGTGACTAGTACAGGGATTCTTAACCAGGAAACTACAGCTCTGGGAAAGAATATCAGATTCACCTATTGAACATTTCCACAGTGTAATTACCATTCTGTTGTTCTCCCCACCCTCTTTCTGCTGGTTGTTTCTCTGGTACATTTCTAATCTAGACATCGTCCTCTGAAAATCACTTTTGATATCTATTATTAATGAAAAGGAATTTTCCTCCCTCTCAGGTATACTGAAAGAAAAGTGAAAGATGCAATCTAACGTCGCAAGCGAATGGCTAATACATTTTAGTGCTATTAAAACTCAGAAACTAGCGATTTACTCAGATTGGATGAAATGGGACATAATGTAGAACTTGCAGCAGGTAGAGATTTACTGAGGCAGCCTCACTTAGGCAGAGAGAGAAAGGGAAGGATAAGAAAAACAAAGTCACAGAAGAGGACAGCCAGAGCAGAAGTACACTATGGCCTTTAGGGCAAAGGTATATTGGTGAGAAATTAATGGCATCAGCCAATCATCACATACTTGAGCACCTACTATTCTTGCGAAAGCAGGATCTGAAGGTGCCTGCCAATAGACCAATTTGAGGCTACTCAGTGATCCAGGAGAGGTAATGAGAATCTAGCCTGTACCATTGCAAAGAAGAGATCGGAAGTGAGACACACTAAGGAAAATACAATGGGAATTGATGATTCATAAAAAAAAATTCAACTCCAAGTTGCTGAACTTTTCTTTGTAAAATTGATAAAAGCAGTGGTTTTCCAACTGTAGTCCTTGGATTACAAAGATTCTATGAAAGTACCTGAAGAATGCTGAGGTGGGTAGAGATGGCTTCATGAAAAGAGGATGAGCACCATTCAAGGCCCCCTTCCCTTGCTATAGCTAAGGCACCTAGGCTTTTATCTTTTACATTTATTGGGTTTTAGGTAAGATTTCATTAAGTAAAATGGTTTCGTTTCTTATAAAAGGAAGTGTTAAAATCACTGATCTAAAGTACGAGCATTTCAAAGCTAGAAACATGCCTCTTTTCTGTTGCAATCCTATCTTCAGTCTAATTCATTGCAGGCATTCAATAAATTTTGACAAATCCTCACAGAGACTTGGGAAACTTATAACAGGTCTTGAAATCATCTGTCTTCTACCCTTTAAAACCCAGGCTCTAGACCTGTTTTGTCCAATATGTTAGCCACTAGCCATATCTGGTTATTTGAATATAAATTTATTAGAATTAAATGACACTACAAATTCAGTTCCTTAGTCATACTAGCTACATTTCAATTGCTCAATAGCCACATGTGACAGTGGCCACCATACTGAATAGCACATATATAGAGTATTCCTATCACTGTAGAAAGTTCTGCTAGACAGTGCCTCTCCAGATAGATTTCAATGACTACTATATGAGGTATATTGAGTTATCTGGGTAAAACAGTAAAACATTAGGGTCACTAACTTGCTACATACTGTCATCAAATATCAAGACATTTCAGAAAACAATTTGGACTT